GCCGCCAGCCCCTCCCCCACCCAGGAGTAGCCGTTGCTCCCCGCGTGACGGTGGCCGGGAGGGGCCCTCCCACGCCCGGACGCTCCTTCGCCACCCACCCGGTCGCGGTGCTCGGCCTCGCTCGTCCATGCACTCCGAGCTCCCGGGGCCTCTGTCTGGGCTTCTGGTGCTTCGCAGCCTCTTTTAGATCCCTTTGGGAGACTGCCAGCCTTTCTAGAACTTTCTCCGTTTGCTAACTCTGTAATAAGCTCTGGAACATTGTATCCCTTTGTGCACATCCAAGTTCTGTTCCTGCACATTGCTCTTTCTCCTTTAAATATCTGCGCAGTCTCTCTTGCCACCCAAGTGTAAGGTATGCTATGGAATCCCCCTTGTTTCACCTCACACTGTGGAAAAAACACCCATGGGCTCATTTATGCCTCAGACACCATGCTCTTAACAATGCTCTGAGAAGGATGAAATCTATCTGATATAGTTCCATTTGTTGACTTGTAAAAATATTTTCTCATTTTGCAGGTAGAGTGATACAGAGAGGGACAGATACATAGAGAGGTTTCCGTGGCATGGCTCAGAGCCTACGTGTACAGAATAACTGTGGCTTTGCAACAGAGCCCACGTGTATAGAATAACTGTGGCTGTGCAACGCTGAAGTTGGAGCCAGGAACTCAACCCAGGTCTGCTTGCTGGTGGCAGGTGTGCAAGCCCTTGGGCCATCCTGGGCTTGTTTCCAGGCCCGTGAACCGGGAACTGGATGACAAGCAGGGGAGCTGGGCCTCACTGCACTCTAACATGGGATGCTGGCTTCCTTAGTGGTTTGCAAACCCATTACAATGGTCCCTTGACATTCTGTTTGCATTGACCTATAGAAACTGTACATATTCATGGGATACCATGTAACTTTTGAAGTAAAAACTTACCACCTTTGTTATTTTTCTTATAATGTGGCTAGAAGTAAATACAGAGAGACAGAGGTTTCTCATCCTTTGTCTTCTTCCCCAGATAGAGGCCAACAACCAGAGTTATGTTGGGCAGGAGCTAGGAGCATTGGACTCAATGGATCCCCGTTTGTGGCAAGGATCCAAGTACTTGATGTGTCCCCTGCTGGCTCCCAGGGTCTGCATCCATAGTAATCTGAAATTGACAATTGGGCCAACACTTGAAAATAGGCCCTCCAGTGTGGGAAAAGGGAGTCCCAATGCATGTCTACACTGCTATGGCAAACACTGGAACCAGCGTGAGATGTTGGAATACATGGAAACCCTGTGTAATGTGCAAATCAAGGTCAACACATCTGCCTCCTCGACAACATTTCTTTTTGGTGAAAATATTCCAAATCCTTCCTTCTACCCTTCTGTGAAATATCAGCACTTTCTCCTTAGTTCACTCTTCTTTCAGTGCCTTTCCCCTTTGACACTTGCTGTTGTACTGCCTTTCATCCCGTGTTGGGAGACCCCCTCTTTTGTGTTGCTTTTCTGTTACACGGATGTGTTTTACCCACTGTTTCAAGGAAGTTCTGCTGGCCACAATGTCTCTGAGGATTCATTTCTGGTTGAATGTCTGGATATCTCTTTCATTCCCCAAACTCATCTTTGCTGATTAAAGAATTCATGGTTGGGGGCAGCCTGTTGGCACAGCAGGTGAAGCTGCTGCCTGGGATACCAGCATCTCATATGGGAATTGTGGTTTGAGGCCCTGCTTCTCCACTTCCCAATAGCCCCCAGCTAATGCAGCTAGCACAGCAGCAGAAGTTGGCCCAATTACCAGGGCCCCTACCATCTACTTGGGTGACTAGAGTGGAGTTCCTGCCTCATGACTTTGGCCTCTGCCGGGTTCCATTGTGGTGAGTAACTGAAGAAGATTCTCTGTCTCTTGCTCCTGCTCTCTCTGGTGCTCTACCTTGCAGATTTGAAGAAAACAATGGCAGCGATTTATAAAGTGCTTGAAAATGGTATTTGGAATACACGTGCAGGAATCTAAACATTCCTGGCACTAAAATAAACATATTTTTCTAAATACTGATTTCTTTCATTGTGTTTGAGAGGCAGGAGACAGGGACAAACACGTCTTCCAACTACAGGTTACTCCCTCAATGCCCACAATGGATAGGGCTGGCTCAGACTGAAGACAGCAGCTCAGAAGTCCATTTTGGCCTTCCACATTTGTGGTAGGGGCACATGGATTGGATTGTCACCTGTGCTTCACAGCTGTGGATTAGTATGGAGCTGGATTTGCAGTGGGGCCTGGACTTCAATCAGGGATGTCCATGTGGGACTCAGACATCCCTAGAGCAGCCTAACTCATGTTCCAAGTGCCTGCCCCTGAACTCATCTTTTCATTGCCTGTGTCTCGTGGACTTTAAGAAGTAGCCTTGTACACTGTACTGCTAAGTCCTTTGTTAGATGATGGTTTGCATTTGTTTCTGACAGTCTGTACCTTGACTTTGCTTACTTCTCCGTGTAATGGGTTTTTGCAAATATAGATAATTTCCCAGTGCAACTGATTGCTTTAAAAATTGTTGGGATGTTGCTTTTAGTGCCATGTTTAGGAGGTCTTTCCCAAATCTCCATGCTGAAACTTCTTCCTGTGATTTATTTAGAAAATACGTACTTTTATGTTCTAATTTCAATCTTTTGGCATGTTTTTTTTAATTTAAAAAAATTTTTGACAGGCAGAGTTAGACAGAGAGAGACAGAGAGAAAGGTCTTCCTTTTCCGTTGGTTCACCCCCGAAATGGCTGCCATGGCTGGTGTGCTGTGCTGATCCAAAGCCAGAAGCCAGGTGCTTCCTCCTGGTCTCCCATGCGGGTTTTGGCATGTTTTAAAGAAACAAATTTGCCAGAATCCATAAAGATCTCTAGAAACTCAATAACAAGAAAACAAACAATCTGGTTAAGAAATGGGCAAATTACTTGAACAGGCTTTTTTCTCCAAAAGAAACCTTTTATTTAAGGAATGCAAACTTCATGCATTTCATAAGTACAACTTTAGGAATACAGTGATGTTTACCACCATACCCACTCTCCCACCCACGCTCCTGCCCCCTCTCCTCCTCTCTCTCCCATTCTCTGTCCCATTCTCCACTAAGATACATTTTTTATTAACTTTATACACAGAAGACCAACTCTCTTTTAAGTAAAGAGTTCAAAAATTTGCACAAAGAGGCCGGCGTTATGGCTCACTAGGCTAATCCTCCACCTGCAGCGCTGGCACTCCAGGTTCTAGTCCTGGTTGGGGCGCCGGTTCTGTCCTGGTTGCTCCTCTTCCAGTCCAGCTCTCTGCTGTGGCCCGGGAAGGCAGTGGAGGATGGCCCAAGTGCTTGGGCCCTGCACCCACATGGGAGACCAGGAGGAAGCGCCTGGCTCCTGGCTTCGGATTGGCGCAGCGCGCCGGCCACTGTGGCCATTTGGGGGGTGAACCAATGGAAGGAAGACCTTTTTCTCTGTCTCTCTGTCTCACTGTCTAACTCTGCCTGTCAAAAAAAAAAATTTGTACAAGGAAAGGAAAACCAAAGAAACCATTCCTCATCAGTGGAGACAAGTAATGTTCAAAGTCGTTGCATTTTGAAGTTAATTTCACTTTTTTTTAAGAAACTTAATTAACTTTAAAGAAGCACCCAAGAATGACATATCTTTTGCTAGCATTTAGGCATAATTATAATACAGCTCTCTGAGGACAGAGGTCCTGCATGGGAGCTAGAGTGAACAGAAACTCCTATTGTACATTTAGCAGTTAAGAATTTTATGTATGTTGGCCGGCGCCGCGGCTCACTAGGCTAATCCTCCACCTTGCGGTGCCGGCACACTAGGTTCTAGTCCCAGTAGGGGCACCGGATTCTGTCCCGGTTGCCCCTCTTCCAGGCCAGCTCTCTGCTGTGGCCAGGGAGTGCAGTGGAGGATGGCCCAAGTGCTTGGGCCCTGCACCCCATGGGAGACCAGGAGAAGCACCTGGCTCCTGCCATCAGATCAGCGTGGTGGGCCAGCCGCAGCGCTCCAGCCGCGGCGGCCATTGGAGGGTGAACCAGCGGCAAAAAGGAAGACCTTTCTCTCTGTCTCTCTCTCACTGTCCACTCTGCCTGTCCAAATAAATAAATAAATAAATATTTAAAAAAAAGAATTTTATGTATGTCGTCAGTGATCACCCAAGGCTCTTGACAGGAGCTGCCTAGGCTGTGGAAGCCTTTTGAACCCACAAACTGCATCAGTATTTAGATAAGACCATAAGCAAATTGGAAGTTCTCTCCTCCCTTCAGAGAAAAGTACCTCCTTCTTTGATGACCTCTTCTTTCCACTGGGGACCTAACCACCGAGGTCCTTCATGTAGGACACTTTTTACCACAGTGTCTTGGCTTTTCATGTGAAGAGGCATTTTTCAAAAGAAATTCAAATGGCCAACAGACACATGAAAAAATGCTCAGGTCACTATCCCTCTAAACAAAACCACAATGAAGTTTCACCTCACTCTGGTTAGAATGTCTTTCATACAGAAATCAACACAACAAACAACAAATGTTGGCCAAGATGTGGGGGAAGAGGTACCCTAATCCATTGTTGATGGGAATGTAAACAGGTATAGCCACTGTGGCAGCCAGTATGGAGATACCTCAGAATTCTGAATGTAGACCTACCATATGACCCTGCCATCCCACTCCTGGGAATTTAGGCAAAGGAAATGAAATCAGCATATGAAAGAGTTACCTGTACTCGCATATTTATTGCAGCTCAATTTGCAATAGGTAAGATAGGAAATCAACACAGATGTCCATCAACTGAAGACTGGATATTAAGAAATGATGGGGGCTGGCGCTGTTGTGCAGCAGGTTAACGCCCTGGCCTGGAGGGCCAGCATCCCATATGGGCACTGGTTCAAGACCCGGCTGCTCCACTTCCAATCCAGCTCTCTGTTATGGCCTGGGAAAGCAGTAGAAAATGGCCCAAGTCCTTAGGCCCCTGCCCCCATGTGGGAGACCAAGAAGATATGCCTGACTCTGGCTTCGGATCAGCACAGTTCTGGCCGTTGTGGCCGGTTTGGGAGTGAACCATCGGATGGAAGACCTCTCTCTCTCTCTCTCTCTCTGCCTCTCCTCTCTCTGTGTAACTCTGACTTTCAAATAAATAAATAAAATATTTTAAAAAAGAAATTATGGTAAATGTACACTATGGAATACTGCACAGCAGTAAAAAAAATAAAATCCTGTCGTTGGCAATAAAATGCATGCACCTGGAAACCATCATACTTAGTGAAATAAGCCAGTCCCCAAAAGACAAATAACATACTACTGCCTACTCTTGTTGACAGTAACATTCACAGGAAACTTTAATGGTAATAGATACTTCTTTAATAAAGCAAAGTACTTACAGGTACCAGAAATTCTGAACATTGGATCAGCATTCAGTGGGTGTTTTAAACAGGGAGCTGTCTGACTTATACTATGCTCCCAATCACATTTCTGGGAATGAAAGTGCAAGAGAGAAGGGGAGGGAATGCTGCTCTTGTGCATAGCCCTCAAAGGTGATAAATTCACAATGGGACACGTCCACAGCAAACATGTAAGTGTGGTTTTAAAACTTGATTGCGGTGCCAGCGCTGTGGCATTGTAGGCTATGCCTCTGCTTTTGGGGCCAGCATGTCATGAGGGCATGGTTTAAGTCCTAGCTGCTCCTCTTACAATCCAGCCCTATGCTCATGGCCTGGGAAAGAAGTGGAAGACAACTCATGGGCTTGTGCCCCTCCACCCATGTGGGACAGCCAGAGGAACAGCCTGGCTTCTGGCCTCTGATCATTTCAGCTCTGGACATTGTGGCCATTTGGGGAGTGAACCAGTTGTTGAAAGACCTTCTCCTCTTAATTCCCACTCTCTGTAACTATAGCTTTCAAATAAATGAGTAAAAACATTTAAAAACCCTTATTGTTATCAACTGTTGAGTGCACAGATATGCAACACGTGCCATTTCCCTGAAAGAAAACCAAGTATAACAGCAACATCATTATGCCTATACTGTTACAGTTACTTGAAGCAGGTTACACGGGTCTCACATTCATTCCAATGATAAAGAATGTTTAAAATAACATTATGTACTGTCATATGAAGAACAGATTCCCTTTCCCCCATTCCCTTCGCCCCGTTCTAAGGGCCCCCACAACAGTCGTTGGCTCCCTATGAGGATTTTCTTTTGCTCCCCTGCGACCACCCCATTGGATTGGTCTGTCTGTGATTCTATCTTCTGAGCTCTTTCTTTTGCTTTCTGGTTGTTGCTTACTTTCGCCCCTCACTATTGGCCAGACCCTGAGTAAGGACCCCAGGCCTAAGCTCTTACAGGCTTTACGTGGCCTTAAACTAAAACGGAAGGAAACTGAAAAGTTTGGGGAAACTGCTGCGGGCATGTGTCCCTGGCTTGAGGCAGTAGACATTTATGATCCCTTCGACGGGGATAAGATCTTACAAGCCACCCAACAGTGGGAGGTGGACGCCAACATACCTGTCCCCCTCCAGTTTTACCCTATAGTTATTGCCATCTTGCAATGCTTAGCTCCCCCTACTGCCATTTTCCTGACATCCACGCCTTGGGCAGACCTCTGTGTTCTGCCTCAGATTCTGCAAGATCTACAGAGTTTGATCAGTGGGCTCCTCCTCCTCCAACTCCGACAGTGATTCTGACTCAGAACCTCCCCACCAGACCAAAGATAAAAACACAGAGGCTGCGGGCCAGATAGGGGACCAAACGGGAGTGGCCACCTTGGCTTCTGCTCCCCTCCTCGCCAGAATGTCCCCTCCTCACCTGAATCTCCCCTCCCACCTATTCTTGGCCCCTGTTAACTTGGCCATCAGTTCCTCCTCCTGGGGCACAGGGAGAGCCTCCTCCTTTTGTTACCTGACCCCCCTCCCTTGTTTTCAAAAGGCTTGCCTCCAGGCCCCACCTCCTACAGATAAACAGGTTGGGTCCTGCTGGGCCAGCCCAAACCACAAGCCCCTCCCTGGCCAGAGGTGCCACCTCCTCTTCGAGGTGCTCACCTGATGCACCCTCGACCCTGCCACTCGGGTTCCTTGAGGCTGCTTTCCTCCTGGAGCAGCTTCTGCTGCATCCCCGCCTTGGGGCTCTGACTCCTGGGCACTTTTCAGCCCACTGCCCCCTCCCTCCCTGACATGGGGATCTGCATTTCTCCCTCAGGTAAGCTCACTGAGGCCTTCCTCTTCAATGTTCTGCCAACCCCTCAATGCCCCCAGGAGTGGTATGGCCACTGTTATTCCACACTCAAGGATTTGTGTGAGGAGTACATAAAAATGGTCCTCGTTCCCCCTATACTGAACAACTATTGGAGACCATAGCCATTGGCCTTAACTGCCCCTGGGACTGGAAGGACCTCTCTGGAGCCCGTGGACTTTCTAAAATGGAGGGCTATTTACTAAGATGAATGTGAACAGCAAGGGGTCTGCTGTTCCAAAGCAGGAGCCCCATCATCTCAAGGGGGACCGTCCCGCCACCCCAACGCTGGACGACCCAATCAAATGGGAACAGGTGCCCCTAGGGCTTACTGGACCATTCCTCTGGAGTCACAGATCAAGCCTCACATACATGTTTGGTTTAATGGTAAGGTCTTCAGGGCGTAGCTGATTCAGGTGTAGGTGTCACCATAATGAGAGACGAGGAAGTTCCCTCAGAGTGGGAAAATATCCAAGGCCCTGATGTGTGAGTGGTGGCAGTACTTTCTCCCCATCGTCAGCTAAAACACCCTGTTGTTTGGAGAGACCCAGAGGGACACAAGGGCCATGTGCAGTCGCTGATAACTATAGGCTTGGGTAGTCATTTGTTTGGTCGCGACCTGCTTAGTAGCATGGGAGCTACGCTAACTACTGATGATAAGTTTTGTCTGGAAGACCTTCTACAAACAGGCCATGAGTCCCCCAAATTCAATAAGTGCCTCCAATTCTAGGGGCCACTGTTCGTGCCATCCCCCATCAAATTACAACGGACTCATGATACCCCCATGTGGGCAGAACAGTGGCCCCTGCCTCGACAAAAGCTAAGCCATCTAACTGCTTCGGCTCAACAACAGTTAGACTTGGGTCATACAGAACCCTCAACTAGCCCTTACAATACTCCTATTTTTGTCATCCACAAAAAATCCACATCTTCCATCTGGCTCCTCCATGATTTGAGGGCTGTCAATACCCACATGACAAAAATGGGCACCACAAAGCCGGGAATCCCCATAACTACTGTGCTTCCCACTGTCATGTCTTTCGCATTCTGGATATGAGAGACTGCTTTTTCGTATCCCCCTTCAACCTGAGGATAGGGAGCATTTTGCCTTCACAGTATCTGTGCCCAGTAACACAGTCCCAGGGCAACGGTTTCAGTGAATAGTCTTGCCACAAGGCATGAAAACAGCTTGTCCATTTGCCAAATTTATGTTTTTAAAGGCTCTGACACCTTTGTTTGCCATTACTGGCTTAAATATCATCCACTACATGGATCACTTCTGCTGGTTCTAGGAGCTTTCCCTCAAGCTGTACAAAACCTCCAAGCCATAGACCTTGTCGTAGTCCCAGAACTCCTCCTTTTCACCTCCTGCGCACTGAGATGCTTCCCTACACTGTTCACCCTGTTCCACCCTGCATTTCTATCCCAAAGAAAGCTACCTTAAACAAATTACAGGTCCAGTTGGAACACATAAATTGCATTCGTCCTTGGCTAAAGTTAACAACTTACCCCCCATTTTACATGTCTATGCAGGAACCCTGATCCCACCTCCCCTAGAGAGCTTACTGAAGAAGCTGAGTGTGCCCTCAGCCTAGTTAACCAATCCCTTGCTTCCTACAGCTTTATAGTTGGGATCCACAAAAAGAACTCTGGGCCATTGTTCTGGGCTCTGCTAGGACATCCACAGACATGCTGTAGCCTCCTGATAATGTCTTGGTTGGGCCCATCTGTCCCCCACAGCCATGTCAGAGCTCCAGTCTCCTATTTATAGGCTTTCTTCTCTTATTAGAAAATTACGATTGTATTGTTAGACAGTTTGGCTGTAAGCCTGATCACCTGGTTATCCCACTTCTTAAGTCGTCGCTGGATTTTGCTCTCCTCAATGATGCTTCCCTTATGACTGCCTTGGCTGGCTATACTGACCAGATAGGTAGTCACATCCCCCCAAGCAAACTTCTCCAAGTAATGCGTCTGCTGCCCCTTTCTGTTCCTTCTGTTATCTCCTCTAAACCCAATCCTCAAGCCCCGCTTGTTTTTACAGACACTAGCATTTCTGAAACCATCACTACTGTCAAATTTACCCCCAAGCAACCATCGACTCAGTTTGTCCGCTCCTACCTTGCAGGATCCCCACAGTTTCTAGAGCTCCTTGCTATCTATCATGCTCTATGCCTGACTCCTGAGTGCTGCAACCTTTTCACTGACAGCATATATTGCACTCAACTCCTCCCCCAACTCCCTCATGCCTAATGTACATTGGATCTCTCTTCCTCTTTAGATACCCTGCTTGCCTCACTACAACACGTACTGGAAGCACGCACATCTCCACTCTGTTCAATACATCACAGCGCACTCTAGTCTGCCTAATCCTTTACCTTCCCTTTAATATACAGGTTGATGTGCTGACCTGCCCCGATGTGCTCACCACTGAGTGCACTGCAAGAGATCCTCACTCTCAGTTTCATCAATCAGCCCGCTCCCTTGCTGCTTTGTTCTCTGACCTACCCATCCAACAGTGCAAACACACAGTCTGTCAATTGTGCTAGGTGTCCCCCATTTTGGCCTTTTGCACCACTACAACCAATGGGGGCTAATCCTCGGGGCCTTAAGGCCAATGCTCTGTGGCAAATGGATGTTACTCACTTCCCTTCCTTTGGCAAACAAAAGTTCCTCCATGTAACGATGGACACTTATTTAGGGTTTATAATGGAAACTCCTTCCACAGGTGAAAACACCCCTAAGGATATTGCTCACCTCCTGTCCTGCTTTCTTATTATGGGACACCCACTTTCCACAAAAACTGATAAGGACCCTGCTTACACATTTGCTTCTTTTTGCGTTAAGTATGCCATTGGTCATATCATGGGCATACCCTATAACCCCAGGGCCAAGGCAATGTAGAAAGAGAACATCAGAACCTTAAGACTATGATTGAAAAACATAGGGGAGACTACGGTACCCACCATGAGCATGGTAATTTTGCTCTCTTCACCTTAAATTTCTTAGAAGTCTCACCCTCTGGAGAGCCGCCAGCAATAAGATACTGGAGACCCCTTATGAGCCCAATACCTCTGGTTAGATGGAGGGACCTGACCACCCAACAATGGAAAAGGCCTGATCCCCTCATAACAATGGGAAGAGGTTTCACTTGTGTCTTTCCAGAGATCATTCCATAGTCTATGTGGATACCAGCTCAAAATGTCAAACCCTGGACCCCAATCTCTGCAAACCAACCCTCCAACAAGCCAGCTTCAGTGCCTTTCCACTAAATGAGCCGCTGATGAAGAGACACTAGGAGAGGATGTGGCCTGCCCCCCCTCAACATTGGGTAACATGGGGAGAACTCAGGGGTCTGGTGGACCCAGTTCAATCCTGTCTCCAACCCCCAATACAACGTGCTTGTTGCTGGGGTTACTGAACTGTGCAACAATGAAGTCAAACTCTCAGGCTGCCTGTGACCAGGCTGGGTCCCAAGACGGCCCCAGCGACTTGACTTCCTGCCCAAATATACAGTAACTGGACAGGACCCTGGAACCAGCCAATCAAGGATGCCATCAGGCAGCTAGTACAGTGGACTAAGAGAGCCCTTGGACTGATCAAAGCTGCTGGTATATTCATTGTCACTACAGTGCAGCTGTCACCAGTTTCCCTCATCCAACCATGCATCCCCAGCCTGATGTTTGCTTCACAGCTGTTTGTATCACCAATGTACCTGCTTTAGAATGGGAAACTCGATATCGTTACTTGTCAGCCTGTATCAGGGGCCCTCGGGATGGGTTATTTCTCAGGTGCTCTTCAATTTAACCCAAAACCTAATGCCACCCACATTTCTATCCTGGCAGTTACCACGTTTACATAGGGAATGGTTGGTAGGGACTCACGAAATTTTGGTTCCATCCCTATGCACTGATGACTACAGTAGTGGTCATCGTGGGTTGCAGTGTACTGATCTATTTTTTCCATGCCGCACTAAGCTGAGTCCCATCTGCCAAGCAAAAGGCTGCTCCACTAGCAAAGATTTTGGCCATCGAGATAGTCTGGCCTAAAACAGAGGGGAGAGATATGGATGATCCTGTGCCTGGCTGGGAGACTGCCTGCCTGGCCCATGCAGAAGCTTAAGAGGGCATGGCATAGCACGCCTCCTGGGAAAGACCATGGTCGGGGCTCAGCACACTGAGACCCACACATGACCTGACTGCTGTTAGGCAGCAGGGACCCCAGGCACATTTCCCCCACTCCACTTCCTGTTGAGGGGCCTTGTGCTTGTCAACTAGGTAAACAGCTCCCAAGTGTGGCCTAGCCACATAAGACCACCTGGAAGACTATGTAAACCACGTGAGCTTCAAGCTGATTGGAGACAGGTAGAAGCACCAGTATTGCCTTTATCCTATAGAATTAGTGTTGCTACCCTGAACTAGCTACTGCATTTTGTCTGTCCTATAAAAGCCTATGGCTAACTGTTAATAAACAGCCATGTTCACTGAAACAGTCTCTGGTGCTTCTTGTTGAAGAATGCCATCCCCCCACCATCCCGACAGTGTGGGCCTTGCAGGACAAGCCCACACAGGGGCCAAAGGACTTGAGCCATCTTATACTCCTTTCCCAGGCCATGGCAGAGAGCTAGATCACAAGTGGAGCAGCTGGGACTCAAAGTGGAGCCCATATGGGATGCTGGCACTGCAGGTGGTGGCTTTATCCGCTACACCACAGCACCAGCCCCGAGATCTTTTAAAATAAATTTACGTATTTTCACATGAAGAACTGGTTCCTTTCCCTCCTCCCCTACCCCACATATGTCACAGGAAAGCATGAGGTTCCTTATATAGTAATTTCACACCTATGTGAAGCAGCAACAACCATCAATAATCAGGCATTTCTGCTTACAGGTGCTCCAGCATTGTTGGCAATTTCATGAAGGCATTCCCTAGTTGCCATGAAATGGACCACAAATTCTAGGGAGTGGGGCAAGCGCTCTGACAAAGCGAGTAACTCGACTGCTTGTAGTTCCAGCATCCCATACCAGTGCTGGTTCTAGGGCTGGTTGCTCCATTTCCTAGCCAGCTCTCTGCTATGGCATGGGAAAATAGCGGAAGATGGCCCAAGACCTTGGGCACCTACTTGCATGTAGGAAACCCATGAGAAGCTCCAGGTTCCAGGCTTTGGATCGGCCCAGCTCTAGTTGTTGCGGCCATTTGGAGAGTGAATTGGCAGATTGAAGACTTCTCCTTCTCTCTCTCTCTCTGTCTCTCTCTGTCTCTCCCTCTCTCTGCCTCCGCCTCCCTGTAATTCTGCCTTTCAAATATGTAAATAAAAATTTTAAGAAATTTCTATGGAGCAGACACTGTTTCCAAAACCAACTGAAATAAAGAAATAGAAAGCAAGGCATTACCCTGGGTGTAGTCTGGACACAGTGGTGGAATGGAGTCTACTGAAAACAGGGAAAGCCAGTAAAAGTAACTTATTATTTTATCAAGGCCAATAAAAGACAGCCAGGGTATCTCTCCCAGCCCTGCATCATCATGACTCCTGCACCAGCCCCAATATATGGTACCAGATGCCGAGTATGGTGGGTAGGAGACCAAGTCATCCCAGACGTTGTAGTAAACAAAAACGTAATGCATCGGCGCGAAGTGTGAGTCAGAGGAGAGTCCCTTTCAGTCCTCCTCCAAGGCCAGCTCAGAAAGAATACTGGCAGCTAAGACCACGTTCTTATCACAAGCAAAATATACTTGGATCACAAGTCCTTCAGGAAACCCGATTGCCTTTAACTTTTCAATAGCTGCCTGTTCCTGAGGTGTTACTTCAATGTAGCTACAATCCTTTGATGATCCTGCGGTTCCCACAGTGCCACCTCCACCTTCTCCTTCATCACCAGCTTCTTCCATAGGGGCAGTTAGCATGTGAACCAAATAATCCTGATATTGTCTAAATTGCCTACGTAATAGAGGATCCTGTGGACATATGCGTTGCAGCACTCCTGGAAGCAAAGACGGAAAGTATTGAAGGATTTGTCTCAATAATTGAAACTCTGGTGCATTCCATAAAACATCCAGGGGATGTCCTCCAGAACCCGATGTCGTAGCCCCTGCATCTGCTGCCACCGCTGAAGACCGACCAGCTCCACTGCTACCGGCTTGAGGGGGCTCGACCTCGGCCGCACTTGCCCTGTCTCCGGGGAGTCCCATTAAAAGATACTCCACGGCTCTGTGAGGGTTGTTGAAGCTGGCTCTCAGGGCTGCAAGGACCTGCTCCCGTTCGTAGCCCATGGACACGATCTCGGCGACCATTTGCTCGGAAGCCGGACGTGTCAGCAGCGCCCTTGCTGCCTGCTCAGACGGCTGGGCCCGAGAGGAGGGTCCTGCGATGGCATCATCTGGTGTGGGGCTTGGAGCCCCTGGCGGGCCTGCCTGCTGCCCTGCAGCTTGAGGTGCGCCAGCAGGTGCAGGCTGAGCCGACGCTGTACTGGATGCTGACACGGAGGCAGGCGCGGACTTGGCACGCGTGGAGGTGGCAGGCGCAGATTTGGCACGCGTGGAGGTGGCAGGCGCGGCGGGCAAGGCAGGGCCGCGCGCTGGGGCCCCAGCACCAGCCGATGCCGCGGTGGCAGGATGGGACTGCCCAGCTGTGGCTGTGGCCGTGGCCGTGGCCGGTGCTGCTGTGGTCGCCGCCTCGGGTCTGGCCACCAGGACCGTCACAGCGTGGTGCTCGTGGATCTGACAGTCTCTGAGCACAGCGTCGTCCGGGAGGACGCGGCCCGCATAAAGGAGCTGCTGCCCCGCTACCGGAAAGGCATCTCTGCCCTGCTCGGCTTCAATTTTCTCCTTGAGGGCCCTCACCGTCTGGCCGGGGTCAATGTCGACGTGGAAGGTGAGCTGCGGCCAGGCCTTGAGGGTGAGCCGCATGGCGCCGCCGCGCAGGGCCGCGGCCTAGTCGGCTGGCCGGGCTGGGGCGCGTGCTGGCCGCCGGGCAGGCGGGCGCGAGGCCTGGCGGGGCGGGCACCGCCGCGCTCCTCACACTGCCTCTGCCTCTGGCTCTCGGGACCCTGCGGGAGCGAGTCCCAGTCGCCCTGCCCAGCGCGCTCTGCCCTGCCCGCGGGGCCTCCTTCCGTGAGCCCTGGCCTCCGCAGTGAGGGCCCCTGGCTCAAGATGGCCGCCGTGCCGCCGCCAGCCCCTCCCCCACCCAGGAGTAGCCGTTGCTCCCCGCGTGACGGTGGCCGGGAGGGGCCCTCCCACGCCCGGACGCTCCTTCGCCACCCACCCGGTCGCGGTGCTCGGCCTCGCTCGTCCATGCACTCCGAGCTCCCGGGGCCTCTGTCTGGGCTTCTGGTGCTTCGCAGCCTCTTTTAGATCCCTTTGGGAGACTGCTAACCTTTCTAGAACTTTCTCCGTTTGCTACTCTGTAATAAGCTCTGGAACATTGTATCCCTTTGTGTTTATTCATTTTCTGTTTCCTACACTTGTGCTGTTTGATACCAGTCATGAAGGGAGGATGGTTGCCAGAGCGAGTCTCGTGGGTTCTTTTCCCCAGCTTAGTACAGAAATGAAAAGCCAGAAAACTATTTGCAAAGAGGCAGAAACTTTATTGCATTGACAAGCAATAGAGAAAGTGTCTGGTGCTTCAGAAGACAGGTGGAACGCCCCAGCAGCACACTGGCTTTGAGGAAGCGTCCTCGGATTTTAAGGCAGTACTAATTGTTAATTGAGTTATGCTATTGGGGGTGCCCATTGGACAGGGGTTTCACGTACGTATGCTGTTTCCTTGGGGCTCAAGGAGCCTGCAGGGGTCTCCTGGAGACCGCCTGTCTCCATAGGGGATCAGCCCCCTCCACTGCTAGCTCTGGGTGGAAGATCGCAGCTATACTGGAGGCATGGTTTAAACTGCAAGGTCACACAAAATAGCCAGGGTCTCTTGGAGCTGATCCAGCTCTCCCCAGGTTCTCATCCCCTTCCCCTGCCAGCTCTGACTAAAGACTGCACCCACCCTGAAGGTGTGATTTAAATCTGCAAGGTCACACCTGCAGCACAGGAAGCTGTGAGTAGAGGAAATGTCAGTGTCCTGGAGAGGCAGCCTGCTTGTGCAGGACGTTCTCCCCGTGTCTGAAGGGGCCGCCAGACTCCCAGGCCCACTGGCCTGCCTCAAATCCCCTCCTTTTTATTACACACCCTACTACTCTGAGGACTTGTGCCATTGATGTCGCACTGGATACCTCTTGCTAGCGGGGTGGGGGTGGGGGGGGTGGGGGTCATCTTCTTAAGGCCCAGTAGGTTGCGGCAGGTCAGAGTAGTGGCGGCCTTCCAGGCTGCTGTGTTAGAATCCAGTCTCCATACAGGGTTTCATCTGAACGACCCCTTGCATCTTGATGGATTTTAACCTTTGAGAGACAAATTTGACAGGCCAATTAAAGATACGTGGGCCAAACATTAGACTAAGTAGTAGCATACAGAATGGGCTCAGCAGAGACAGTAGCCATGCTGTGGATGCTAACCAAGATTTTAGTTGTTCCCAAACTTGACCTGTCAGGTGGGTTTTACTGAGAAGTTTTTTAACCACACTGCTTTTTGGAGGATGTGATCTGTTTGTGTGACTGCAGCTCCTGAGGTGTTGACCTAGAAGCAAGAGGAGGTGTTTGCTATGGCAATACTCCTCCCTATTGGGCTAGCATATCTGTGGTCTAGGGCCATCTGGGCTAGTGAGTTTAGAGAACTTTGTAAATCTCTAAAGCTGAAGCCAACTTCTTGGGCTATGTCTCTCACAGTAGTGGTGATGTTTGAGACCTGCAGGTGAGTACTATCCACTCCATACGTCAGCCCAGTCAAGGTTGCTGCCAGGGCTGTCACACCTAGTGTGATCGGGGTCACTGATTCTCTTTTGACTCTGATTTTAGTGTTAGTTTTTGAGAGGGCCTGGTAAGTCTCTTCAATTGCAGTTTGGTTTAGATCTCTGAGTTTTCTATCAATTGGTCCAGTGCCCAACATCCTAGGGGTGTAGACATCTTACACCCCATGTCTTTTTAGATAAATTATCATAGCCAATAAAGAGCATTCCTCTTGGGAGGCAGAGGAATTGTACTGCTTCAGGCCCACGTTCCGGGGTCTAGGATCATCGGTGATGTTAAGGAGGTCAGTAATCTTATTGTTAAGAATCATATTCCTGGGCCAGCGCCGGGGCTCACTAGGCTAATCCTCCACCTAGCGGTGCCAGCACACCGGGTTCTAGTCCCGGTCGGGGCGCCGGATTCTGTACCGGTTGCCCCTCTTCCAGGCCAGCTCTCTGCTGTGGCCAGGGAGTGCAGTGGAGGATGGCCCAAGTGCTTGGGCCCTGCACCCCATGGGAGATCCTGCCATCGGATCAGCGCGGTGCGCCGGCCGCGGCAGCCATTGGAGGGTGAACCAAGGGCAAAGGAAGACCTTTCTCTCTGTCTCTCTCTCTCTCGGTCCACTCTGCCTGTCAAAAAAAAATCATATTCCCTCCTTCCTCTAAGGTGCTTCTAAGGAATTGATGTTTCTTTGTATGAGTGTGGGTTATATTATCTCTGCCCTCAACACTCTGGAACATTTTAAATGCTGTTTTGCAAGTTAGAACAGCTGTAGTTTTATTTTCAGAGATTTTTTTGCAGTTGATGGGTCAAAGATAGAAGGATAGCAATATAGCCCTCCCATATCTACACAGGAAGTTAGTTCCCCTTCCCATGAGAGCTGGTCTGTGGGATGATAGGGTTAAGGAAGGACAATTTTTGTTTGGTAACCATCAAGGCAGGTCCATTCCAAGGTTGCACTTTAAACCACCGGGGCTCATTCGCAGTTTGTAGGGAAGAATAGCATATCTAGCATTTGCTTATGTTAGTAGCTATACTTGCTACATGAACGGGGGAGTTAGGCTCGATCCTGCCTGTTTGGAGAGAGCCAGTGGCTGTGTGTATCAGTATGAAACAGGAGACAGAGGCGATGGGAAGCAGGTGTGTCTTCCCCCTAGCAACCCTGTTAGTGGTCAAGACCAGATTTGGAGGGCTTTGGGGGTGGTTTCACTAGGCCAAGAAATAAAAGTATAAAGAGTACTATCACCAGCACCTAGGAGAGAGAAAAGAATTGCATGGGGTTGCAGTCAAGGTACTTATCACTCAGGTGTCTTTTTGAAGAGTAGCTTTAGGCCTTCCAGTGATTTATAGGTGTAGGTGGACTCCAGAGGGTTCGAGCTGGTCTAAGGTCTCTGGCACTGGTGTGGTCTCAGTAGCTGTCCCCCCCTTTTTTTTCTCTAGAATGGTATATCCAGGTGTCTATCCCAGAGATCTTAATAGTGGAGGGGGTGGATAGGATGACAGGGAAGGGTCCTTCCCAAAACGGCTTGTGAGTCCCCTTCTCTAATGCCCTTATCAAGACTAGATCTACAGAGAGGAAGAGGGGCTTTCCTTCTCCTGGATGGGAGCCCTTGTGTAACTCACGTATGCCCACTGAAAGGCTGACAGATGAGTGACAGTCAGTTATCCATTGGGCCTCTTCATCTAGAACTATGGCATTAGTGAGAAAAGGTTCCCATAAAGTTTTTTTTCTTTTGTTTTGTTTTTTTGTTTGTTTTTTGTTTTTTTGTTTGTTTTTTGTTTTTTTGTTTGTTTTTTGTTTTGACAGGCAGAGTGGATAGTGAGAGAGAGAGAGAGAGACAGAGAGAAAGGTCTTCCTTTTGCCGTTGGTTCACCTTCCAGTGGCCGCCGCGGCTGGCGCGCAGCGGCCGGTGCACCACGCTGATCTGAAGGCAGGAGCCAGGTGCTTCTTCTGGTCTCCCATGGGGTGCAGGGCCCAAGTACTTGGGCCATCCTCCACTGCACTCCCTGGCCACAGCAGAGAGCTGGCCTGGAAGAGGGGCAACCAGGACAGAATCCGGCGCCCCAACCGGGACTAGAACCCGGTGTGCCGGTGCCGCAAGGAGGAGGATTAGCCTAGTGAGCCACGGCACTGGCAGGTTTTTGTTTGTTTGTTTGTTTGTTTGTTTAAGGGGAAGAGGCCTAGGCTTCCAGGGGTGCTGCGAACCCGTATTATGGCTAGATTTAGAAGCTGCCACCAGGGGGCTTGTACCTCCTGAGCTAATTTTAAAATATGTCTCTTTAGAATACCACTGGCCTTTTCAACTTTTCCTAAGGACTGAGGGTTCCATGCACAGTTGTATATTAAAGTCAATTCCTAAAGCCTGGATGATTCCCTGGGTGACCTCTGATTTAAAGGCTGAGCCATTGTCACTCCATAAGGAGTGAGGAATCCCAAAACATGTAATAATCTAATTTAGTAAAATTCTTATTACTTTAGTCACCTTTTTAGATTACAAGCAAATGCCTCAACCCATCCTGAGAAGGTATCGACCAAGGCCAGCATCATTTTGTGTTTCTTTTCTTTCTTTCTTTTTCTTTTTTTTTTCTTTTTTTTTTTTTTTGACAGGCAGAGTGGACAGTGAGAGAGAGAGAGAGAGAGAGAGAGAGAGAAAGGTCTTCCTTTACCGTTGGTTCACCCTCCAATGGCCACAGTGGCCGGCGTGCTATAGCCGGCGCACCGCGCCGATCCGAAGCCAGGAGCCAGGTGCTTCTCCTGGTCTCCCATGTGGGTGCAGGGCCCAAGCACTTGGGCCATCCTCCACTGCACTCCCGGGCCACAGCAGAGAGCTGGACTGGAAGAGGGGCAACTGGGACAGAATGCAGCGCCCTGACTGGGACTAGAACCTGGTGTGCTGGTGCCGCAGGTAGAGGATTAGCCTATTGAGCCTCGTCGCCGGCCCATTTTGTGTTTCTTAGTTCCCTGCATGTGGGTGAAATCCTTCTGCCAATCCTTACCTAGATAAGTGCCCTTTTGTTGTTTTCCTTGGGGGAGGGCAATAGCCTGTTTTTAGTGTTGAATCACAAGCAGATCTCATATCCCTGTATCACCCGTTTGACTGTCTATGATAACTTTTTTTTCCTGTAAACAGGTGCTGAACCAGAGCCAGGGTGTTGTTTCTTACCAGATGATGCATCTGGTGGAGGGTTTTTAGGACCTTCCACTGGACACTTCGTGGCAACCAGAGTCGTCCATCAAGGGTAATCTACCAACCTTGATGGTCAAGACTGCATCCTGCCTCTTTCCCCTGTAAGTTTTCTGAGTGTAAGAGGGCCTTTCATGCGGTAATAAAGATTCTTCCCATAAAACCATGGCCTCAGAGATTTTTGAAATGGCAGCCTGCTGGGTTGCCTTATCTGCCAGTGTGTTTCCTTTTGAAACAGAGCCCATATCCCATTGATGTCCTTTGCAGTGCATCGCAGTGGCCCTGGGTGACATAAGGATTGCCTCAAGTAAATTGAGGGTTTCAGTCCTCTGCTTGGTTGGGGATCCCCCTGAGATTAGAAGTCCCCTCTCTTTCCAAAGTGCTGCATGAGCATGCAAGTTAAGGAAAGGTAATTAGAGTCAGTATAAATATTGACTGACTTGCCCTTTGCTAATCTTAGGATGGCTGTTAGAGCAATAGATTCTGCTAGCTAAGCACTGATGGAAGTGGGAAGTGTATGGCTTCTATCACTTTTCATTCTGAGATGACAGCATACCTGGCATATCAGATCCCCTCCTAAACCAGTAAACTGCCATCAGTAAACAACTCCCAGTCTGGGTTAAGAATGGGTTTATCTGTCAGATCAAGATGAGGAGTCCCATGGTAGGGTCTCCTCACATGAATGGAGGTTTTTTCCCATTTTTTTTCCAGGAAGAAAATGGCTGGGTTTAAAGCAGGGAACTTTTTAAAGCATATTTCGGTCCCTTCCATGCGTGAAGCTTGGTATCTAAAGATGTGATTATCTGACAGCCAGAGATGTCCCCTTCTATCTAGAATACTCCTGAGGACCTGTGGGGACAAAACAATGAGGGATCTTTCCAGAGTGAATTTTTGAGCCTCTGGGATTAAGAGTTCCACAGATGCCAGGGCTTTCAAGCAGACTGACCATCCCTTAGCTACTGGGTCTAATTCCTTACTTAGATATTGCTACTGGCTGGATGCTCCCTCCCCAGTTCTGAGTTAGGACTCCCATGACTACTCCCCTTTTTTCGTAGGCATATTAATCAAAGCTTTCTTGTGTGGGGAGATCCGGTGCTGGGGCTCTGCTTAAAGCCTGTTTTAATTGATTGAAAGCTTGTTTTTCCTCCTGAGGCCATTCAGGGAGCTTAGCATTTCCTTGGGCCTCTTGAAGAACTTGTAGAGGGATCTCGCTAACACTGCATACCTTGGGATCCAAATCGGACAATAACCTGTGGCCCTAAGAAATCCTCTTAGTTGTTGGGGGTTTGTGGCAAGAGAAAGCCCAATACTGGCTGAATGCTATCCCCTCCTAGCATTCTGGTATTTCCCTCTAGTATCATTCCTAGATAAGGCACTTTGAATTCACTTAACTGTGCCTTGTCTTTGAAGACCTTATGGCTCTTCTGGGCTAGAAAATTGAGGAGGGACCTGGGAGCTGAATCACACATCTTCAACAGGCCACTAAAAGGTCATCCACATACTGGATGGAGGTAGCCCCAGAAAATTGCCATTCCTCTAGATCCTTAGCCAAAGTCATTCCAAGCAGGTGAGGACTATCTCGGAATCCCTGTGGGAGGACAGTCCATGTCAGCTGCCACCCTCCGCCTCTCAGATCTTCAAATGCAAATAGAGGTTATCTCTGGAAATGTAGAGGGATGCAGAAAAAGGCATCTCTTAAATCAAGCACTGAAGAACATTTGGCCTTACCAGGGACTTGGGTTAAGAGGGTGTAGCGGTTAGGAACTACTGGGTGCCATGGGACAACGGCTTCATTTATCAGTCTCAGATCTTGTACTAGTCACTACTTATTGGCCCCTTTTCTGACCTCTAGAATGGGTGTGTTGTATGGACTCACACACTCTACTAGTAATCCAGCTCTACTAACTGGTTGAAAATGGGCTTTAGCCCCTCTTGGACCTCTGGTTTTAGGGGCGTTGCCTTTTGTCTTGGGTAAACTGAGGGGTCTTAGAGGTGGATAACCACAGGTTTGGCTGAGAGAGCCCAACCAACTGTTTCCCCATCTGTCCACACAGCAGGACCAATATCTACCTCAACTAAAGGAAAGCAGCCATAGACCTCAGAGGGAAGAACCAGGCCTACATAGCCTTATCCAGAATGTCCCTCCCCAAGAGAGGTGCTTGGGTCTCAGGGATTATCAGGAAGTACTGGTGGAAGTGGAAGTCATCCCAGGAGCAAGCCAAAGGCTGAGTAAAATACCGTTCAAGAGGCTGGCCTGATTTGCCCTGAATGGCTAACTTTTGTGTGGACCCAGGCCCAGGAGAAAAGGGCAAGGCTGAAAATCTAGCACCAATGGCAAGGAGAAATCTGACTGTGAGTCCACCATCAGAGAGGTCCAGGACTCCTCAGTATGAACCCAAGTGGCGGGAGCCTGGAGAGTAGGCCCTGGGACCCGTCACTGGGAGTTCTGGTCCAGTAGCCCCTGCTCCCTTCAGAGCCTGGGACACTTGGATTCCCAGTGCTCCTTCTTACAGATTGGACAGGGTCTAGGAGGTGGTTTCTTTTGTGCAGGCTTGGGAAAGTCCTTTGGAAAGTGTTCCGCCTCCCCACATTTGAGACAGGTTTTTGATTTATGGGCCTTGCCTGAGGTGGCTATACCCATAGCAGCCAAGATTTCCCCATGGCGCCTGTTTTCCTGTTTCTCCTTTTCCCAGTACCTATTGTATTAGACAGTATTAGCCACCTGAAATGATTGGTCCAAAGAGGACTTATCAGGATCTGCCATTAACTGTTGGAGCTTCCTTTATATATCCAGGGCAGACTGGGTCAGGAATTTGTTCTTAAGGACAGCTTCTTCTCCATCCACCGCTCCAGGGTCCAGGTTAGTGAATTTAAGCATTACCCTGTTGAATTTTTTTAGGAAGGTCACAGGAGGTTCAGATTCCCCCTGCTGCACAGCCATTAATTGCCCACAGTGAAAATGTTTGAATTTTGCTCATTTTAGCCCTTTAAAGATGCAGTAAATATAATGATTTTGTTCCCACTCATCCCTCTCCTACCCAGGATCCCAATCAGGGATTTTAGTGGGCACTACCTCAGCCCCTACTTGGATTTTTACACAGTTTTTCTGTTTTACACTTAGGAAGTTATAATAATCATTGCCTGCCTCCCGTGCCTTTGCTAGCACTCTTTCTCTCTATGGAAGTTAGTGTCTGATTGAGGAGTAAAGTGACATCTTTCTCTGTCAGATCGTATAATACTTTACGTTGTTCAAAAGCCTATATTTACTGCTCTGGGTTGTCTGTGTAATCTTCCAGGTCTTTTTTTTTAACCTCTTGTAATTTAGCCCGAGAAAAAGACACAGTGCTAACCTCTGAGCCAAATTCACTAGCTCCCACCACCTGCAAGGGAAACATTCCATCTCCTTGCATACTTTGGTAAGGTCGAGGTGCCTTACTCCATCTGGGAGTTGGCCTAGGATAAGGGGGACAAGGTTGATCTTGGGGCTTTAGGGATGAGGGGGCTCTGGGAATGACCTTGGAGACACCTCGACTGGTTTTTCTTCTTCCATACTCAGCTTGCCTCCCACGGCCTGCACCAGCACTTTTTCTACGTTACAGTTTTGGAACAAGTCTGCGTGTTCTCTAAGATAGAAGAACAGTTGGACATAAGGAATTTCTCCCTACTTGCCTTCACACCTATAGACAAGATCTAGTTGTAGTATGATGTTATAATTGAGACTTCCCTGTGGAGGCCAGGTCTCCCCAACATTAAATGGGTATTTCGGCCAGGACTCAGTGCAGAAGAAATTCAGGACCTTCTTTCCGAGGACCTGGAGGTCAAAGTGATCCCAACTCTTAAGGATGCATCGAAGAGGTGTCTGGGGATCCACTCGTGAGGACTGAGATCCCATTGAATAATAAAGGAGAGAGAATGGACTGCCTAGAGAGGTCGCTTCCTCTCTCTATACAACCCTAACATGAGGACTGAGCCTGGCAGGCACTGGGAGGTAAACCCAGTCCGGCCCCTGGGGCACAGCCCTCTGTGAGTGGTCATCACAAGGATGGCCTTCCTGTCCACCAGGACAGGCCTTACGAGTGTGAGGATTGCCACTCCTACTCCCGTCTCAGTTTATCCCGCCCCTGGTCTCCACTCCTTTGCCTCTCAGGATGAGGGCCTTGATAAAATGGCCTATTCCCCCAGTAATGCTGCTGCCTCCAACTCTGAAAGCAGTTTAACTCTCATACCAAACTATCAGAAGGTCAAGCCTGTCCTGACTGGTGATGTCTCAAAGACCTTTAAAGTCCATGCCTCCCGTGGACTCTCTGTTTTTTTAGGGCTTAGGCAACTGAAGAAAAGTTACTGTATCCCAAGAACAGCCTCACATTTTTCTCTGAGGCTCTTTACAAACATCTGTCTCAGAAACCCTTGTGGAGACAAAAGGAGCATGCACAGTGACCTGACAGAGAGGGGTCAAAAATTTTGGTTACTTATCTGAACATTTTACACATGGCGTCCTTTTACTGTAACAAGAAACTCGGAGGGGGAACGTTCTGCATTCTGACAGGCACCAGAAACAGTGGAGGAACAGGGGCAGTTTTTTAATGCCAGCAGGCTCAGGGGGAAATATGGTTTTGACAATTGAACCCTGTGCCTAGGTGTATTACAATATTTATAGGTTTGTTAGCATCATACTTTAACCCTTACAGAACTGTGTCTAAATTGCAGCCTATGTGACTTAGGACCACACTTCAAAAGGTTGGTGGGTGTGGCATGCTACAAAGGAGATACGTGGGTCACATTTATAGGACAGATTTATGACTGGAGTTATGGATAGAGAGCTTAGGATATCTTCCCTCCCTAGACAAGATAACTGCATTTTTTAAAGATTTATTTATTTATTTGAAAGACAGAGTTACACAGAGAGAAGAGAGGTAGAGAGAGAGAGGTCTTCTATCCTCTGGTTCACTCTGCAATTGGCCGCAACTGCACTGATCCTAAGCCAGGAGCCGGGAGCTTCTTCCGAGTATCCCACGTGGGTGGGGTATCCCACGAGTATCCCCTTGGGTACAGGGACCCAAGGACTTGGGCCATCTTCTTTGGCTTTCTCAGGCCATAGTAGAGAGCTGGATTGGAAGTGGAGCAGCTGGGTTCGAACTGGTGCCCATATGGGATGCTGGCGCTTCAGGCCAGAGTCTTAACTGGCTGCGCCACAGTGCCAGCCCCGATAACTGCATTTAACTTCACCAGACAATTGGGAGCAGCCACTTTTCAAAGTGTCAGGGGTTTGTTTTCCTTCCCTTGACTCTGGTTGTGGCCTTATTGTTGCAAAAACATCATTACTTTAATAGGGGATCAGACTCTAATTTTATGTTAAAGAAAATAGAATAACTTTTGTATCCAAAAATTTTGCCTCTCATTAATTTCTGTGACTTCATCACACCTTCTGCAACTTAGTCAAACCTTTCTACCTTTCCATTCCAGTCTAGAGTAAACTAGCCATTAAGATAAAGCAATTTATACAAACCATGTCCTTCCTCTATTTAAAAAAAGCCTCTTTTTCTTTTTAACCTTCTTTACCAAGAACACATTTTTATACTTGTGACATTTTTCTATCTGCTGATTTCCTTGATCTACTTCCCAGCCTTAGTTTTAAATTATGTTTCATAACAATCCCAAACAGTCTCCATGAACTATTCCTAACATGAATGGCTCTAGGATTGGACAGATGTGTTGCTTCTCCTATTGCTCATGATTGTCTGCTATCTAGTTGTCTGAGTTTAACTGGAGGGCCAATATTACCCTAGGTAAGGCTAAGCCCCGCTCACATAGCAGTAGGTGGCATGAGCAGGCATCCCTCCAAGAGAGAGGCAAAGACTTTGGGTCACAGTCTGGCCACTAGAAAATCAAAATGAGATTGGGGGGGAGGGTCTCTAGGCTCTCAGCCAACTGCCCTTCCTAGCTACCCTCCCCCTTTTACAATCCCTCTGAAATTTAGGCTGTGGCTAAGCTGTGGCCAGAAGGACTCCATGTACTCGGAGAGTGGTGAGATGCCGGATGATCAACGGTCATTCCCAAAGATCTGGTCCCGCTTGTGGGAAGGAATACAGACCCTGGTGAAGTCTTCTATCAAGGCCCACGTTGGGTGCCAAAGAGGTTACCGGTCACGGAGGGAGGGCCGTTGCTGGAATGAGTCTTGTGGGTTCTTTTCCCCAGCTTAGTACAGAAATGAAAAGCCAGAAAACTATTTGCAAAGAGGCAGAAACTTCATTGCATTGACAAGCAATAGAGAAAGTGTCTGGTGCTTCAGAAGACAGGTGGAACGCCCCAGCAGCACACTGGCTTTGAGGAAGCGTCCTCGGATTTTAAGGCAGTACTAATTGTTAATTGAGTTATGCTATTGGGGGTGCCCATTGGACAGCGGTTTCACGTACGTATGCTGTTTCCTTGGGGCTCAAGGAGCCTGCAGGGGTCTCCTGGAGACCGCCTGTCTCCATAGGGGATCAGCCCCCTCCACTGCTAGCTCTGGGTGGAAGATCGCAGCTATACTGGAGGCATGGTTTAAACTGCAAGGTCACACAAAATAGCCAGGGTCTCTTGGAGCTGATCCAGCTCTCCCCAGGTTCTCATCCCCTTCCCCTGCCAGCTCTGACTAAAGACTGCACCCACCCTGAAGGTGTGATTTAAATCTGCAAGGTCACACCTGCAGCACAGGAAGCTGTGAGTAGAGGAAATGCCAGTGTCCTGGAGAGGCAGCCTGCTTGTGCAGGACGTTCTCCCCGTGTCTGAAGGGGCCGCCAGACTCCCTGTTTAACTCTCTGTGCAATCTCCCCTATCTCCCAAGTGCAAGATAGGGTATGAAATAAATCCTCAGTGTTTCTGCTCACACTGTGGAAACCACACCAATTGGTTAATTTTTGCTTCAGCCACCTTGCAGATACTGACAATGTTCTGAGCAAAAGAAAAATCTATTTGATACAGACCCTTTTGTTGATCTGTAAAAAATATTTGATCATTAGCAGGCAGAGTGATACAGAGAGGAACACACACACACACACACATATATGTATATATCTTCCAGGCTGTGGCTCAATGCCCATGTGGACAGAATAGGTTGGAGCCAGGAACTCAGTCCAGTCCGCCTGCTGGTGTCATGTACCCAAGCCATTGGGCCATCCTTGGCTTTTTTCCCAGGCCCATGATCCAGGAGCTCGATGACAAGCTAGGTGCTAGGCACTGAACTGCACTCTGACAAGGGATGCTGGCTTCCCAAGTAATCTCCAAACACACCACAATAGGCCACTGAAATTCCGTTTGCATTGATCTATAGAATCTGTACAAATTCATAGGATACCATGTAACTATTTAAATAGAAACTCACCACCTTTATTATTTTATTTTGAAATATAGAGAGACATGTGCTTCCCCAAAGCGTGGTTAACAGCTGGGACTCTGTCAGGCAGAAGCCAGGAGCCAGGAACTCAGTCCATGGATCCCATGTTGGTGGCAGGGATCCAAGTATGTGATACCTCCCCTGCTGGACACCACAGTCTGCATCCATAGCAAACTAAAACTGGCAGCCAAGCAAGCACTTGAATATAGGCAGGCATACCAGTGTGGGGTGCAGGTGTCCCAATCTGCGTCTGTCTACACTGCTATGCCAAACATGGAGTCCAGTGTGTGTTGTTGGAATCCATGGAAACCGTGTGTAATGTACAAATCAAGGTCAACACATCTGACTCCCCAACAACATTTCTTTATGGTGAAAATATTCCAAATCCTTCCTTCTACCTTTCTGTGAAATATCAGCACTTTCTCCTTAGTTTAGGCTCTGTCCTATGCGTACCTCTCTTTGGACACCTGCTGTTGTACAGCCTTTCATTCCATGTTGGGAGACCCCCTCTTTTAGTTCTGCATTTCTGTCGTAAGGATGTGTTTGACCCACTGTTTCAAGGAAGTTCTGCTGGCCAGAGTGTCCAAGATTTCTTTCAGGGTTAACTTCTGGATGGCTTTTTCATTCCCCAAAGTCAGCTTTGCTGATTAGAGAATTCTTGGTTTAGGGCAGCCTGTTGGCACAGCAGGTGAAACTACTGCCTGGGATGCCAGCGTCCCATATGGGAGTTTTGGTTTGAGGCCCAGCTCCTCTGCTTCTAATATAGCCCCCAGCCTATGGCAGCTGGCACAGCGGCAGAATGTGGCGCCTAAGAACCTGGGGCCCTCCCATCTACCTGGGTGACTAGAGGAGTTCCTGCCTCATGGCTTTGGCCTCTGCCAGGCCCCATTGTGGTGGGCAACTGGAGGAGTGTCTCTGTTTCCCACTCCTGCTCCTGCCTTGAGATATGAAAAAAAAGACAACGATTTATAAACTGCTTGGAAATGGTATTTTGAGTACACGTGCAGGAAGCGATACATTTTTGGCACTAGAACACACATTTTTTCTAAATGCTGCTTTCTTCCATTGTACTTGAGAGGCAGGAGACAGGGACAGACACATCTTCCATCTACCAGTTCACTCCTTCAGAGCCCACAGACCATGGCTGGCCTGGCTGAAGAGCAGCTCATAGCTGCATTCCCACCTCTCACATTAGTGGTATGGAAAGACGTATTGAACCCTGCACCCCAGGTGTGCATTACTATGGATCTAGATTTGCAGTGAAGCCTGGACTTGAATCATTTATGTCCATGTGGGACTGACATTGCTAGAGCAGCCTAAACTAATGTTCCAAGTGCCTGCCCCTCAATTCAGCTTATCATTGCCTGTCTGACGTGAATTTTCAGTAATATTTTTGTACACTGTATGAATAAGTCCTTTTGTTACATGAGTGATCTGCATGTATTTTGGCCATTTTGTTGCCTGTCTTTGCTAACTTGATCCTTACTGGTTTTTTGCAGAACAGACATAGCTAATTTCCTAGTTCAAATGATTCCTTTAAAAATTGTTGGATATTGCTTTAATTGTCATGTTTAGGATGTCTTTTCCAAGTCTTAATTCTGAAACTCTTTCCTGTGATTTATTTAAAAATCTGTACTTTTATATTCTAATTTAAGTCTTTGTCATATTTCAATGCAACAACTTTACCAGAATCTAAAATGAGCTCATGAACTCAATGGCAAGAAAGCAAACAATCCAGATAAGAAATGGGCAAATTACTTGAACAGGCATTTGTCATAAGAGGAAATAAAATGTCCAAGAGACACATGAAAAAATGCTCAGGACCACTAGCTGTCAGGGAATTGCAAATCAAATTCACAGTATAGTTTCACCTCACCCCCTTAGAATGTCTTTCATACAGAAGTCAACAAACCACAAACATTTGCCGAGGATTTGGGAAAAGGCAACTGATCCACACTTGTTGAGAATGTAAACTGGTACAGCTACTGGGGAAACAATATACTGTCTGAGATACCTCAGAATTCTGAATGGAGACCCAAACATCCCACTCCTGGGAATTTACACAAAGGAAATGAAATCAGCATATGAAAGTGTTAGCTATACCTTCATGCTTACTGCAGCTGAATTCACAATAGCTAAGATAGGGAAACAAACCAAATGTCCATCACCTGAAGACTGAATATGGTCATTATAATATATGTACACTATTGCATAGTACACAGTATACAATGGAATCCTGTCATTTGAAACAAAATGGATGTAACTGGAATCCATTATACTTAGTGAAATAAGCTAGGCCCAAAATCAAATGCCATACAAGTGACTACACTTGTTGACAGTAATATTTACGGATGACATCAGTAGTAACATATTTTTCTCTAGCAGAGCACTACATTTACAAATACCAGAAAGTGTATTTTGAAATACTTGTTTGCTTTCTGATCTGGCTCACCATTCAGTCAGTTTTTTAAATAGGCAGCTATTTTACTTATGGCCAGCTCCCAGTCATATTCCTGCCAAGGAAAAGGCAAGACCGGCGGCTTGGCTCACTAGGCTAATCCTCCGCCTTGTGGCACCGGCCACACCGGATTCTAGTCCTGGTCGGGGTGCTAGATTCTGTCCCGGTTGCCCCTTTTCCAGGCCAGCTCTCTGCTGTGGCCAGGGAGTGTAATGGAGGATGGCCCAAGTACTTGGGCCCTGCACCCCATGGGAGACCAGGAGAAGCACCTGGCTCCTGCCATCGGATCAGCGCAGTGCGCTGGCCGCGGCAGCCATTGGAGTGTGAACCAATGGCAAAAGGAAGACCTTTCTCTCTGTCTCTCTCTCTCACTGTCCACTCTGCCTGTCCAAAAAAAAAAAAAAAAAAAAAGAGAGAGAGAGAGAGAAGGGGAGGGAATGCTGCTCTTGTGCATGGGCCTCAAAGGTGATAAATTCACAATGGGACACGTCCACAGCAAACATGCAACTGTGTTTTTAAAACTTGATTGCAGTGCCAGCACTGCGGCATTGTAGGCTATGACTCTGCCTGAAGGGCCAGCATGTCATGTGGGCATGGTTTGAGTCCCAGCTGCTCCTCTAAAAATCCAGCTCTCTGCTTATGGCCTGGAAAGCAGTAGAAGATGGCCCAAGTGCTTGGGTCCCTGCACCGTTGTGGGAGACCCTGAGGAAGCTTCTGGTTCTTGGTTTTACACAGGGTTAGCTCCAGCCATAGTGGCCATTTGGGGAGTGAACCACTTGTTGGAAGACCTTCACCCTTCTCTCTCACTCTCTGTAACTGTATCTCTCCAATAAATGAATAAAATCTTTTTAAAGGCTTTATTGAAATAGATATAACATGCACAGATAATGGATACGGGGCATTTTGCTTATAATGAAAACCAAAGAAAACCAAAGAGAACAGCAACATCACTCTGTCTATCCAGGTAGTTACTCAAATCAAGTTAGACAGGTCTCACATACATTCTAATGAGAGAGAAATTTTTTAAGATTAATTTATTTGAAAGTTGTTTTCCATAAGGCAGAGGGAGACAGACAGAGAGAGAGACAGAGAGGGAGGAAAAGAGAGAATCCTCCAATCGATAGTTTACTGCCCACATGGCTAAACAGATGGAAGACCTCTCTCTCTGGCTATTGCTTTTCCTCTCACTCTCTCGACCTCTGCCTCTCTGTAACTCTGCCTTTCTATATATAAATACAATCTTTGAAAAACATTTCTATAGAGCGGAGACTGTGTCCAAAACCGATGTGCAAAAAGAACTAGAAAGAAGGGCATTACATTACCATGGGAGTACTCCGGATGGAGCCCACTGAAAACAGAAACCTAGCAAAAGTGACTTGGTGTTGTATCCTAGACAGAGGCATCACAGAAAGAAGAAATGATAGGATAGTAGAACACAGAAAGGAAACCTAGGAAAAGTTGAAGTTGTTTCAAAGAAATAACGAAAACTACAATTGTGGATGGAGTCCACTGCAAAGGGAGAAACCTACAAGTGACTTGGTGCTTCACAGGAGAAATGAGGACCTGCAATGGCTGCTGGTGGGTGGCAGCCTACTCTGCACACTGTGTGGATTTGAGGCACCTGCTGGTTGAAGCAGCCAGGCAGGGTATCTCTCCCCACCCTGCAACGTGTGACTCCCGCCCCTGCCCCAACATCTAGTTCTGATGCCAAGTATGGTGAACCTAAGGCCAAGTCATCCAAGACGCTGTAGGAGACAAAGTCAGCGTAACGAATGGAACGGCGGGAGATGTGAGCCACAGGAGAGTCCCTTTCAGTCCTCCTCCAAGTCCTGCTCGATAACAAACTGGCAGCTAAGATCTCATTCTTCTCACAAGCAAAATATGCTTGTATCACAAGGCCTTCAGGAAAGCCCAATGCCTTTAACCTCTCTATAGCTGCCTGTTCCTGAGGTGTTACTTCAATGTAGCTGTCATCTTCTCTTACTGTTTCTGCAGTTTCTGCATTGTCAACTCCTTCACCTCCTCCTCCTCCTTCACTGCCATCTTCCTCCTCCTCGGTAGTTAGCATATGAACCAAGTACTCTTGGTACTGTCTAAGTTGATCTTCTAATTGAGGATCCTGTGGACATAAGCGTTGCAGCACTCCTGGAAGCAAAGATGGGAAGTGCTGAATGATTCGTCTCAACTCTTCAAACTCTGGTAAATTCCGTAAAACATCCAGGGGGTGTCCTCCAGAACCCGATGTCGCAGCCCCTTCATCTGCCTCCACCGCTGAAGACCGACCAGCTCCGCTGCTACCGGCTTGAGGGGGCTCGACCTCGGCCGCACTTGCCCTGTCTCCGGGGAGTCCCATTAAAAGATACTCCACGGCTCTGTGAGGGTTGTTGAAGCTGGCTCTCAGGGCTGCAAGGACCTGCTCCCGTTCGTAGCCCATGGACACGATCTCGGCGACCATTTGCTCGGAAGCCGGACGTGTCAGCAGCGCCCTTGCTGCCTGCTCAGACGGCTGGGCCCGAGAGGAGGGTCCCGCGATGGCGTCATCTGGTGTGGGGCTTGGACACGGAGGCAGGCGCGGACTTGGCACGCGTGGAGGTAGCAGGCGCGGACGTGGCACGCGTGGAGGTGGCAGGCACGGACATGGCACACGTGGAGGAGGCAGGTGCCGGCGTGGCACGCGTGGAGGTGGCAGGCGCGGCGGGCAAGGCAGGGCCGCGCGCTGGGGCCCCAGCACCAGCCGATGCCGCGGTGGCAGGATGGGACTGCCCAGCTGTGGCCGTGGCCGTGGCCGGTGCTGCTGTGGTCGCCGCCTCGGGTCTGGCCACCAGGACCGTCACCGCGTGGTGCTCGTGGATCTGACAGTCTCTGAGCACAGCGTCGTCCGGGAGGACGCGGCCCGCATAAAGGAGCTGCTGCCCCGCTACCGGAAAGGCATCTCTGCCCTGCTCGGCTTCAATTTTCTCCTTGAGGGCCCTCACCGTCTGGCCGGGGTCAATGTCGATGTGGAAGGTGAGCTGCGGCCCGGCCTCGAGGGTGAGCCGCATGGCGCCGCCGCGCAGGGCCGCGGCCTGGTCGGCTGGCCGGGCTGGGGCGCGTGCTGGCCGCCGGGCAGGCGGGCGCGAGGCCTGGCGGGGCGGGCACCGCCGCGCTCCTCACACTGCCTCTGCCTCTGGCTCTCGGGACCCTGCGGGGGCGGGTCCCAGTCGCCCTGCCCAGCGCGCTCTGCCCTGCCCGCGGGGCCTCCTTCCGTGAGCCCCGGCCTCCGCAGTGCGGGCCCCTGGCTCAAGATGGCCGCCGTGCCGCCGCCAGCCCCTCCCCCACCCAGGAGTAGCCGTTGCTCCCCGCGTGACGGTGGCCGGGAGGGGCCCTCCCACGCCCGGACGCTCCTTCGCCACCCACCCGGTCGCGGTGCTCGGCCTCGCTCGTCCATGCACTCCGAGCTCCCGGGGCCTCTGTCTCAGCTTCTGGTGCTTCGCAGCCTCTTTTAGATCCCTTTGGGGGACTGCTAACCTTTCTAGAACTTTCTCCGTTTGCTAACTCTGTAATAAGCTCTGGAACATTGTATCCCTTTGTGCACATCCAAGTTCTGTTCCTGCACATTGCTCTTTCTCCTTAAATATCTGCGCAGTCTCTCTTGCCACCCAAGTGTAAGGTATGCTATGAAATCCCCCATGTTTCACCTCACACTGTGGAAAAAACACCCATGGGCTTATTTATGCCTCAGACACCATGCTCTTAACAATGCTCTGAGAAGGATGAAATCTATCTGATATAGTTCCATTTGTTGACTTGTAAAAATATTTTCTCATTTTGCAGGCAGAGTGACAGTGAGAAGGACAAATATATAGAGAGGTTTCCGTGGCATGGCTCAGAGCCTACGTGTACAGAATAACTGTGGCTATGCAAGGCTGAAGTTGGAGCCAGGAACTCAACCCAGGTCTGCTTGCTGGTGGCAGGTGTGCAAGCCCTTGGGCCATCCTGGGCTTGTTTCCAGGCCCGTGAACCGGGAACTGGATGACAAGCAGGGGAGCTGGGCCTCACTGCACTCTAACATGGGATGCTGGCTTCCTTAGTGGTTTGCAAACCCACTACAATAGTCCCTTGATATTCTGTTTGCATTGACCTATAGAAACTGTACATATTCATGAGATACCATGTAACTTTTTATTTATTTATTTGAAAGTCAGAGCTACATAGAGAACGAGAGGCAGAGGCAGAGTAAGGAGAGAGAGAGAGAGAGAGAGAGAGAGAGAGAGAGAGAGATCCTCTGTCCTCTGCTCCACTCTCCAATTGGCGGCAATGGCCAGAACTGTGCTGATCAGAAGCCATGAGTCAGGAGCTTCTTCCAGGTCTCACAGGCAGATGCAGGTGCCCAAGGACATGGGCCATGTTCCACTGCTTTCCCAGGGCATAGCAGAGAGCAGGATCGGAAGTGGAGCAGCTGGGACCCTAATCATTGCCAATATGGGATGCTGGCACCACAGGTGGCAGGTAAACCTGCTACGCCACAGGACTGGCCTTCATATAAATTTTTAAATATAAACTAACCACCTTTATTATTTTTTATTTTAATATGTGCAGAGACAGCAAGAAGAGACAGACAGAGTTTTCTCTTCTTACATATGCATCCCCAAACCCTGGTTAACAGGTAGGGCTGTGTCACAGAAGTCAGGAACCAGGAACTCAGTCCATGGATCCCATGTTGGTGTACTTGAGGCAGGAGACAGGGACAGACACATCTTCCATCTACCAGTTCACTCCTTCAGAGCCCACAGACCATGGCTGGCCTGGCTAAAGAGCATCTCATAGCTGCATTCCCACCTCACAAGTTTGTGGTAGGGACAGACATATTGATCCATCACCTGTGCATCCCAGGTGTGCATTACTATGGATCTAGATTTGCAGTGAAGCCTGGACTTGAATCATTTATGTCCATGTGGGACTGACATCGCTAGAGCAGCCTAAACTAATGCTCCAAGTGCCTGCCCCTGAATTCTTCTATTTGTTGCCTTGTGACGTGGGTTTCCAAAATATTCTCATACATTCTATGACTGAGTCCTTTTGTTACATGAGTGGTTTGCACATAAATTGGCCAGTCTATTGCCAGTCCTTGCTTATTTGATCCGTGATGGGTTTTTGCAGAACAGGCACAGCAAATTTCCTAGTTCAAATGATTCCTTTGAAAATTGTTGGATGTTGCTTGAAGTTTAACATCTAAGAAGTCTTTCTCAAGTCTTAACTCTGAAACTCCTTCCTGTGATTTATTTAGAAAATCTGTAGTTTTGTCTTCTAATTTCAATCTTTGGCATGTGTCGCTCCCCCTCTTCATGGAGGAACGACACAGGACCCTGCGCTGTTCTTTTGTCTGCTCGGCCCTCCCCGGGTTTGCTGCTGGTTCTTCCCGGGTTGGCTACCGTCCCTTCCACCTCCGTGGAAGGGCGGTTCCCCCTGCCACTTTCCCCACTTCCACAGGGGAGCGGCACACCGCTGGCCGGCTCTCTCGGGGGCTGCACAGGTGTTCCCTCAGATGTTCCTTGTGCATGTTGTCTCTCTCCTCCTTTATAGTCCTCTTCCACCAATCCCAACTTGGCTACCCACACGCCGAGTACGCTGCTCTCCTCCAATCAGGAGCAGGTCCTACAGTTTATTGGTTGAACTGGAGGCAGCTGTGTAGAAGCTGTTTCTCCCTTCTCAGCGCCATATTGTGGGAGAGCAGATGCATAGAATAAGTCTTAATTCCAGTAACTTAGTCTAGTCCGGGTTGCTCCCCACAGATCCCCCTTTCTTTTTATTTTTTGGCGTTGATACGCGCCTGTCTTCAGTGCCCCGAGGCACACACTCTGCTCTGCTTGCTGGAGTTGCCCACAGGTGCTTACAAGCCCTACCAATCAGGCAAACCGAATCCGGGTCCTCTCTTTGCCATGTTGTGAGGAGGTTTTTAGGTGCTGATGCGTGCCTGAGTTCGGTGCCCTGCAGCACATGCTCTGCTCTGCTAGAACTGCCTGCAGGTGCTTACAAGCCCTATCAATCAGGCAAACCGAATCCAAGCCTTCTCATTGCCGTATTGTGGGGAGACTTATTGGTGTTGATTCGTGCCTATCTTCGGTAACCTGCAGCTCATACTCTGGTCGAGCTGCCTGCTGGTGCTTATCGCCTTACTAATCAGGCAGACTGAATCCAAGCCTTCTCATTGTGGTATTGTGGGGAGACTTATTGATTTTAATTCGTGCCTGTCTTCGGTGACCTGCGGCGCATAAGCTGCTAGCTGCCTGCAGGTGCTCACCACCTCCCTAATCAGGCAGACCGAATCCAAGCTCTCTCATTGCCATGTTGAGGGGAGGCCTTATTTTTCTCTATTTCTCTATCTCCAGGCATTCCTATCTCTCCCATTTTACTTCTATCTGCCAGCATTCCTATTTCTCTCATTTTACTTCTAAACTTCGTTTCTCTTATCCCCACGGCTTCTCGGCACCTGCCCCGAGGCTGCATCTCGGTGCCTCGCCCCGCGGCAGGTTCCCAGCTCTGCGCCGCTTCAGCCCGCGCTTCTCTCATCTGCCCAGCCTCCCGGCGCCCGCCCTGCGGCGGGCTCCCGGCTCTGCGCGGCTCGGCTTTGCACGCTCTGTGGTCTCCACGCCCTTCGCGCCCACACCACGGCCTTCATGCCAGCCCCGCATTCCCTATCTACTTGTGCCCCGCACGCTCTCTCTGCGCGCGGCAGCCTCCGCGAGTCACACAGCCCCAGCTCACGTTTCCGCCACTGGTATTCAATCTAAGTTCCCCGGGCTAACCTGGCGAATTCAACCTAGCTCACGCGTCTGCGCCTTTCGGTCTAGCTTCCCGTCCTTTGCTCCCCGGGCTAATCTGACGGATTCCAACCTGGCTGCCAACGTCTCTGCCTCTGGTTCCAGATTTTCGCCTTTTGCTCCCCGGGCTGACTTAAAGAATTCCAAGCTGGCTTACGTTTCTGCCTCGGCCTGCCCCCGCAGCTTCAATTTCCCTAACATTTTTCTCTACCCGGTATGTTTCCCTAAGTTTTCTTCCAACAATATTCCTCCCTCATTTCTCCTGGCTTCTCCCCACAGTCCGTATCCGAGTCTGTTTGTTCTAGCTTTCACTTTCGCTTTCGACCTTAGAGATTTCTCCCAGCTTCCCCCCGTAGTCCGCATCTGAGTCTATGCCTAGGCCTTTGATAGCTTCTTCCGGCACCTTTTCCGTCCAGCTTTTCCCTAGGCTCTTTGCTAGTCTCTCTCTCCGGTATTTTCCCACTTCTTCCCGTTTCTTCCCTCCTAAGTTTCCTATCCGAGTCACGGCACCATTATGTCACTCCCCCTCTTCATGGAGGAATGACAGGACCCTGCGTTGTTCTTTTGTCTGCTCGGCCCTCCCCGGGTTTGCTGCTGGTTCTTCCCGGGTTGGCTACCGTCCCTTCCACCTCCGTGGAAGGGCGGTTCCCCCTGGCCACTTTCCCCACTTCCATGGGGGAGCGGCACACCGCTGGCCGGCTCTCTCGGGGGCTGCACAGGTGTTCCCTCAGATGTTCCTGGTGCATGTTGTCTCTCTCCTCCTTTATAGTCCTCTTCCACCAATCCCAACTTGGCTACCCACACGCCGAGTACGCTGCTCTCCTCCAATCAGGAGCAGGTCCTACAGTTTATTGGTTGAACTGGAGGCAGCTGTGTAGAAGCTGTTTCTCCCTTCTCAGCGCCATATTGTGGGAGAGCAGATGCATAGAATAAGTCTTAATTCCAGTAACTTAGTCTAGTCCGGGTTGCTCCCCACAGGCATGTTTCAATGAAGCAACTTTACCAGAATCCAAAAATTTCAAGAAATTCAACAACATGAAAACACACAATCCAGTTAAGAAATGGGCACATTACTTGAACAAGCATTTGCAAAAGAGGAAATTCAAATGACCAATGGGAACATGAAAAAATGTTGAGTATCACAAGCTGTCAGGCACATGCACATCAAATCCACAGTGAAGTTTCACCTCACCCGCGTTAGAATGTCTTTCATAAGGAAGTCAACAAACCACAATCGTTGGCTAGGATGTGGGAAAAGGTTCCCAACCCACGGTTGGTGGGAGTGTAAATTGGTACAGCTGCTGTGGAAGACAGCATGGAGATACTTCAGAATTCTAAATGTAGACCTACCAGATGACCCAAACATCCCACTCCTGGGAATTTACCCAAGGGATATGGAATCAGCATATCCAAGTGTTAGCTGTACCCACATGTTTACTGCAGCTCAATTCACACTAGCTAAGAGAGGGAATCAACCCAGATGTCTGTCCATTAACTGAAGTCTGGATAAAGACATTATGGTATATGTACACTATTGAATAGTACACAGCAGTATAAAATGAAATCCTGTCATTTGACACCAAATGGATGCAAC